CATACTGTCGTACTACATATTATACATATTTAATCAGTACCTATTATTATTATGCGTCTATAAGCAATGATGGGTTTTTAAGCTATATAATAATAATAATAATTGAAAAAAAACTATTTGCTTTACAAAGGGTTAAATTTGTTTTTTTTTATTCATCGAATTTTAGTACTATTAGGTTAGGATAGGACTTTGTATAAATTGATTATATTAATCTTCCGTTGGTGGAATTAAGTAAAAACGACAAACTTGGTGCCCACTCAATTCGTTTACTCATGAGGTAAGCATTATATAATACCGGGTTTTAGGTAAATTTGTTGTACTTCTCTATTAGTTCTCTTCTATACTCTTCATTTTCGAAAATAGGTCCATATATCCTTTTAAGTACTTTTCTTTCAAAATAAGCCATTTTTTATTCATCACCATTGGTATATTTATGTATGCATAGACAATAATAAATTACATTACATTGTCTTTAAAGTTTAAAGTATATTTATAATAGCATTTGCAAAACATCGTGTAATTTAAAAAATATTTTAGCTCTTTTTATTCAAAATTAAACGCCTCATCATTCGACAGGTTTCAGTAGTAACTACGGCTGTAAGCTAATAATTTTAATGAACTGCGACAGTAGTGTAGCAAAATTGACTATCTAAAACTCCGTATGAATATCTAAATAGTAAATAGATAAAATATCTATTGGTTTTTGGAACCGAAAAAACTGTAAAAACCTCTACATCAAAATATAGGTTTTGGTTTCGGTTCCTAAAAAAATGTGTTTAAGGGTTCCGGTCCGGTTTTGCTCCCAAGATTTTCAAAAGATTTCGGTCCAAACCCGGTCAATTTCGGTACGGTTCCAATCCCTGGTTGAAAGTGTTGGGTGCGGCAGAAGCTGTTGGACGAACCTATATAGTATATTGTGGTGATTTATTATTATTATTATTACTACCTATTATAAATTGTATTATTATTACTGTTATTATTATATTGTGTGTGCTGGTCGCGCTCTGTGCCGATCGGCCGATAAGCCGATTGTTATATTTCTGTCTACGTTGTCGGCATACATCGACCGGTCGATCCGGGCCGATCGCTGCGACAACGCAGACCGGCATAATATTTTGTATTATATAGATTTTCAGTTGATCGACACCGCTCGCCAAGATTCGGCGCGTGTCAGTGAATAAATATGTTTTTTTGCATTTAACCATTCTACTCCACTTTATTTTTCCTTATAATTAACCACTCATCGCCATCAATATAATATATTATATCCTTCAAAACGAAGATATTGGGTACATTTCTTAAATTCTGTCAAAGAAAATAATAAGAACTTTTAGAATTTTATAAAAATATCATGTTCGAAAAGTTTTTCAAGTATTATCGAATGTCGGTCAAGTCATCGATGAACTCTTAGCTAAGATTAGTCCACATTTAACTAAAGAAGTTACTAATATGCGTAATCCTCTAAGTCCGGAGGTTAGACTGACGGTGACTAAATGGTAAGTCGAGAAAATGTATTACTTACCTTAAACTGTTTGAAATTATATAAAATAGTAAAAGTTATACTTTTAGTATTAAAGTCTCTCGTTGACCTAATATATAACTAAATAAATTTATTAATAATAATAACATAATAATTAATAGGTATAATGACTCAATACAAATAAGTAGTTAATAGATACCTAATTTTATAACATAGAAATGTTTATATATATACAATATAGCCGTATAGGTAGACACCTACTTAAAAAAAAATTTCCATATGGACAAAATTACGTTAACGTAAGACCGTTAAACGTGATTACGCGTATAAATATCACTAAAAAAGTACTATGCTGAACTTTGTACACCTACCTGTAATTGTTAAATATAGTTAAAATATAAATAAGAACATCTGAACATGTACACATTATGAAAAGATGTACTCCTTTTTATTAACTTCTAAATATAAATGAAAGAAAATGTATTACCTGTTTAAAAAACAAAAACATTATAATTTGTTAAGTATATAAAATCAGTTCGGTTACAAATGCCATCAAGTGCACACGTTCTCCGATAGCAGTATGCTTGTCGCTCCCTTATCAGTTCGTAGTTATTTATACGGCTTTGCCTATATAGTCCATATTACGATCGTAATTATGTCGCTACAATCTAACAGTAACAGTTCCAAAAAAAATAGAAAACATAACCTCTCTTCTTCTTCTCTGTCACCAAAAGCAGAGGAAAATAAAACTAAATTTTTCTGTAGTCCAAATCGGTACTCTGCTCTTGCTCAACACGACAACAACTCATCTTCCAAAAATTGCGTTTAAAACGCGTTAAAAAACGCATGCGAAAAACGAATTTAAATACCCAGGAAGAAAATATGGAGCATTATTCCAAGGATTAAAAACTGCAGTTTGATAGGAGTAATTATTATTTTGTGGACTAGATTCATTAAAAAAAAAACTAAGTACCTACGTACATTTTAAATCCTAATTTTTTACCATCACTTAATTGTTTTACTTCAGGAAGTAGACTTTAAAAAAAGTGCATTCGCGTCAGTTGATTCTTATTTTTTCCAAGTGGTTTTAAAGTTTGCTCTGAAAAATGTTTGGATTTTTTTTTTTTGAAGTAGGTACTCGGCGGAGTGTTCTGTGTGCTTATGGACGTCTAGTTGCTTTGATGGGTGTTCTTGGTCTAATAATGTATTATCATAATCTTCAGCTTCTTCATCTGTATCCGAAACCTGTGCTCCTGCCTCCTAATCCTTGATTGTCGTTTATACAATTTCCCGATGTACTTTTCAAATAAATGAAAAATTGTAAATATTTAATTAGGCGATTACGCTAAACGTATACATTTTAGATTAATGTATTGATTTTACAATGATGTGTTATATTCATTTTTTTTAAAAAATTGTTGTGATGTCTGTAATCACGAAACGAAATGAATCAATTTTATACTGTAGCAGCTCTCCTTGTAGGAAATTGATCTAGTGGGTACTTTGGGGGTCAATAGTGAAAAATTTCTAGTATTTTACAAAAGCGTCAGGAAAAAACAAACAAAATAATTAAGGAAAAACTGAGATATTCCGAAGATATTTTTCCAAAAATGTTATAATTTATTAACTACACTTAACACTGACTTACACTGACTGCTGTCATCACGCGAGAAGAAGAATGCTCTCTAGCTTTTGTACCATTCTAATGACCTACCTACTTAAATTCTAAAACTAACTGTTTATTGGTTTCGTTTAAAAAATCGCCTAAGTGATAAAACATTTTCAGTTACCACTTCAGTCTTTCCGATTTCTGAAGGATCAGCATTGCCTTGCAAACCCTTTGAGACCCACCCCATATTTCTTAGATAATGACATACTTTAAATCTAAGCAAACTTGTTTTTAGTGTTGTGAATTGTGATGTCCTTTAATACATAAAAACTACTGAACCATTTTTAATAAAACAGATATCCAGATCAATATAGACGCTTTGGTATTTGAGCGTATTTATATAGTTTATTTATTCAATCCCTACACCTTGGTTCTAGGTATTAGGTAGTTTAAAGGAAGCTCACACATGAATTTTTTTTCAGCTGACTAACAAAGAATATTTATTTTTGTTTATCTAAAAGTTTGCTGTCGATTACATATTATATTACTATTAAAATAATTAGGGATTAGTTGAAATATGGTACATTTTCTACAAATATATTTAAAAAAAACAAATCTAATGCTTGGGCAACGCCCGGCAAGGACAGCTAGTTGTGATAAAAATAATTTAGACTTTAATAATTATTTAATAGGTTTGTAAGTTATACGTATAAAACATCATATCAAATTTATTAAAAAACAAAGTTCTGAAGACACTACAATATTGCATTCTTGCACTCATTTGTATTATTAGTAAGTTACAAGGTGTTTTTATTACGCTATAATTATGATTTAATAAATACTATATAACTATTATTTTTTACAATTCAAATTTGTTTTTTCCTCTTAAACATGAATTGTATTATTTGAAAACATATTTTGTGGTTAGTTAATTTTTGATCATAATTATCTTACGTTTGTATAATATAATTTAAATTGTTTAAACACATAATATGTATAATATACAGTGTTGGATAAATTACTTTTGAAAACAATAAGATTAAGTTACTATTGTTACATTAAATATTTTTTTTTAAATTACATGCGCGATGCCCGACATTATTTTTATCACGCGTTACGTTACTTTTTCATTCAAAAAATAAAGTGTTGTAAAATAATGTTTCTTTTTACAAAATTTAATTATAAAATCAGTCCATAATTACTATTAAGTACCTGTAATAGCTAATATGTACCTAATAGTATAATGTTATATTATGTTAAAGTGTTATTATACTATATTATATAAACGTTACTACATCGGTATAAGTATATGAGTGTATATAACATTGATAATATATTAATATAGGTATATTGTGTCATTGTTAGTTGTTACATTGACAAAATGTACGAGTATTAATTCTTGGGATCTTAAATAGGTAATACTGTTGAATATTATCTAAAACTTTCGGAATCATACACAAATTGAATTGGTTTTTAATTATTCTTTAATATCCTAGCACCCAGGTTTTGTCATATTATATTCTACATTCATAACTTATTTTAATAACGTGGAAAATAACATATTTCTCCATAGGAATTAGTTTTATAAAGTAGTTAATTTCATTACAATTGCGTGTTAATTTAAATAAAATGACTCAAGTGTTATTACAAAAGTAGTTTTGTTACAGTAATTTGTATATGCGTTATATACATTACAACCCAAAGCTGATATTATATAGGTACATAATTTAATATTATATAAAATAACTATATATTTTTATCTTTTATTATTATTATTATTACTACTACTAAAAAGTTAAAGGGGTGAGCAGGTGGTAACTGAAATGTGCAATAGACACACGTTTATATCAGTGATATGCAATCCTTGTTTGTAGTTTAAAATACAAAGAACAATCAATTTTAAAAACGGATTCATGTTAATTTTTTTTTCATGAATGTTTTTCTTGATGGCAAAATTACAGAAACCATATTGGATTTATTGATGCTACTCAAACATCCTCCATAAATTGAAATAGGCTGACATTGAATATATCCAAGTTTTGAGTAAAACTCTTGTTTGTCTATTGTAGACAAGTATGCAAAATTTAAACCTAACCTATAAAAATTATTTGAACTTTTAAATATAATGTCAACTTTAAAGTATGTTGTATGTATATTATAATTACGTTTTTATGTATTCTTCAGTCTTGTACATAAGATATTTTCCTAGTCCTTGTCCTCGGTGATGGTTTATTATGACCACTAAAATAATAACAATTTTCATTATCAATTAAACAAATTATGTACTTTTATTTTAAGGTGGTAAAAGTCAATACAAGCTACATCATATCAGACATTGGAAATGTAGGTACTCTAAACCACATGTGGTAGATTGGCTAGGGTGGCGGGTGGGAAATCGCCTGGGCTGAATGGGACTGGCAACAATTTGGGCTACTTGAATATATTTGAGGAGATAAATTATAAATTATAAGCCCAAAATTAGGCCGAATTTTTGTTTCCCCGGGGGCCAATTTTTATTTTCAGTCCGTCCCTGCTAAACACCATTTTCTTTATGAACATTTTTTTCCTCTAACATTTCAGAATGCAATTTGTCGTTCATAAACACCAACTATACCTAAGAACTTAACAGAATAATATTGACCTGTTTCGATGAAACCGCCATCAGGAATAGACGGTATTGGTGTAATTTTTGAATGTCCTAAAACTGCTTTGAAGTCATCTTCTTCTTTTTTAACCAATATCAAAGATGTTGGCAATGTATCACAAGATGCCTCCAAACTGTGTAACCTAAATGACACATACAAATGCATTAACATCAATGAATTTACAAGATATATCACACACCTATAATAAAACGCAATATAGGTACACCCCAACACATACACAAAAAACAATAATTGTAAAATCGCAATACGCATTGGTCGCGTTCCGTTCTGAATCTAAAAATCTTATAGGTACCTACAAAAGTATAAAGCGAGTATTATATATATTATATATATTATATATACGACAGTATAGTAATATAATGCAGATCGACATATAAATCCTCGTTAAAATATTATAATACAATTATTATAGTGTACCTCTGCGTAAGTATATACAGTTAGAGTCGGTATACCAATAATAGTCGTAATAATGGCATTTGGAAAAATTAACGGGCCCGAAATCCAGCTGATGCCGGCCGTCGATTAATATAATAATATGCTGGCTACTAATAAACGATGTTTGTTTAAAATCATCGTCGACGGCCCAGGAATAAATACCGAAATCGGCACATTTGCAACTCTGAGCTCATCTGAGTATATAATCTGACCTAACCTTACGCGGACAAAAAAAAAACCTGAACGAAAAAATGGCTGCATCGCATATCGAAGAAAAGGAAATGGAAACAACTATCATGCAAATCTTGGGAAAAATAATAAGCAACGTCGAGTACGAGATTATGGAAGAAGAACTTAAACGAATAGACGACATCGACCAAGAGCCTACCATCGGAGACCTGGAAGGACTTTTATCGTATGCGACGCGCTTCGCGGGGGACGACTACGTCCCGTCCAACGTCTTTCAACCGGTCGACAAATCTGACAAAATGGCAGAACCGGTTGAACCGATCGTTGAAGTGGTCGCGCCTCCGGTGCAGGAAGCCGCGAAAAAGGAGCTGGATGGCGAGGCGGTGGGCGCCACACCGGCCAGAGGACTGGAAGTCAGAAATAGTATCGGGATCTTGATTGGTTGGCTGGACCCGGGGGTCAAGGCAGAAACACGCGCAGCTCCGCGCAGTGCAACGGCGAGACTGGTGTCCTCTGCGTGGAGAGGCCTGACGAGAGCCGCACGCGTGTTGCGCTGTTGTTGTCCCCCGAAGTGAAACCGTCCAAAAGTTTCCCCCCTGGCCGAGGGCAGCGGACAAGACGAGGCGACGTGTGGGGTTTCGAGGTAATAGGTACGCGGCAGTGCACATTCAGGTGGTGACCGGCGGTAAGTCGCCGATACACGTTCTCCGGCCATCCTGCGGCAGCGCGACGGGATCGCGGACGTTGCGAGCTCGAGGTCGCCGATACACGCGAGACCCTCTGGCGGCGCGGCGGGCGCCCGGCTGCTTCGGTCCGGGAGCGACGACGACACGACGACGGCGGAGGTTAGCGGTACCGGCGCGGACAACGACGCCGTCCCCGACACGGTACCTGCTCAGTGACGAACGCTGCAGTGCTGCGCGACTCGCGTGACGGCGGCGACGGAGACCTCAGAGCTCACGGCGGGTGAGTGACGGATGACTATGATTACAGGGTATAGCTAGGAACGCCACGGACGTCAGCAGCGCCGGGCTCGAGGAAACGAAACGTTTCGTCTGGTTCGACGGTGCGCGGCTCCGTGGCCATCGGCTGTGGCAGACGGAGACGCCAGGGCGAAAATCACGAAGACTATCAGGACAGCGGCGCGTCGTCGCGAAGCTGTCTGCAGATTTTCTCCCTTTTTCGCCCAGTGGTCCGATCCCGAGTCGCAACGCCGCCGATTCCGCAGCTGCACCGAGATCGTAGTCGCCAGCTCGCCTCTCCGAGCTTTGCAGGTCACCGTCGTTGCCGGCACAAGCAGTCGTCTTCAGCACCCGCAGTACCGTCAAGCAGCGCACGACATCGCGCACTAGCCTCTCGTCGCCAATCGTCGTCGCTCTCGCAGCCGTCGTGGCCGGGCTTCGTCCGCTGCCATGGTCGTCTTGGCGGTCTCGAGCAAACTCGCCCGCGACTCTCGTCCGCCCCGCAGGACAGCCCGTGAGAACGTTGTAGAGGTGACCAGTGGCCATATACCAGTTACCAATACATCATCAGCACCACCAACTCGCCACCACGTACCCCCCCACATTGCGTCGTCTTGACCGATGCCTTTTTTTTTGTATTTAAATTTTCTTTACTTATATCGAATAATATTCACTTTACAAATTTCGGCTTTTTCTTTTTTGTTCTAACTTTTTTTTGAACATACAAAATTGTATAATAATATAACGGCAACCGTTTCCAAAATTGTTTCCGTTTTTGAAATTATATTCAAAATTAAAAAATGTTATATTGTTTTTGTTCGATAATTAAAAATAAATTTGTGAACACAAAAAACTATTGTTGCTTTTTTCGTATTGTCGAGTGTGTAAGTCAATTTTTACAATATAATAAAATATTGACTTTAGTTGTAATAATATTCTAAACTGAACAAATCTTGTAACAGATATCTATTACTGTACTCAGTGCCGTAACTAGGCTACTTGAGGCCTGTGTGCAAAACCAAAATATTGAGGCCCCTTATTATCTTTTTCAATACACACCTCAAAAACTTTTTTTGCAATTTTTAAAGTCAGCAGACAAAAATTCGGGCTTAAACAAAAAAAAATGTTTAATTTAAAATAATCTATAATTTTAAAACAATTTCTCAAGGCTATAACTAACTCAAAAAAGTAAAAATTGTCCAAAATGTAATTTATTGAAAATATTAATATAAATATTTGGTGAAAACTTCAATGGTCTACGGTTATTAGTTTTCGAGTTACACCAAAAAATAAAATTTTTAGTTTTAGGTAAAAATGACAATTTTTTTTTTTTATTGACACTTTTTAATATCTAAAATTAAAAATTTCGGTTTCGATATCCAAAAAGTACCAACTAGATTCACTTTTCTAACAGAAAAAATGCTGATCTCGAAATTCGGAATATTTTTACTACCCATTGTTGATGACCGACAGAAATGAAAAAAATTATACACATCTTGTAAAATCAATACATTTGTTCGTTCCTCTCAATTGGTTTGAAACATTGGTTTCGTTTCCAAATCAATAATAAATAATTTATATATTTTAATAATTTTATATTAGTTTAATATTAGTATTTGGATCTTTTGAGGCCCTTCGATATATTTTGAGGCCCGAGGCCTGTGTGCGGTGCACACTTTGCACACCCGGTTTTTACGGCACTGCACCTATGTCAAGTTGCATGAACAAGCGCACTAAACATTTAAGGAACTAATTGTGAGCTAAGTCCCTTAAACATGATTCAGTGGTCCATGATTGATTCATTAAATTAATCAATTGTTCATGAAACTCGGCAATAATATTATTATCATGTGATAAATTCTGTCAAATATTGCACTGATGTTTACACTAAGAGGGTACTAAACCCGCATGTGTACTCTGTCTTACAAACGCATAACATATTATAGCAAATTGTATGCTCAGCAGATCACGTTTATAGCTCTGTTATGCGTTTGTAAGACAGAGAGAAAGCACACGGAAAAAAAATATGCCCTCTAAATATTAATGCAAGATATAAATAAAACTGAAAGCAAAATATCAGATATTGTTGCCATTTTTAGATAGATAAAAAGACGAATTTTTGTCACTTATATTAAAAGATTAAAATCAATTATTATCACATTATTATAAAAATTATTTTCAAATAAAATAAATATAAAAATCTGATAAGTTAAGTTTAAGGTAGGTATTTCAAATTGTACTGTACTTGAGACTTGGAAAATAATCATCAAATTAAACAGTAATCGATAATTAAAGCAGGGACTAGAACCTTTGTCATTTTTTCGGTTCTGGTTCGGTTCTTAAAATGGGAGCACACGAGTTGCGTCCCGTAAAAAAGGTATACACGAATTGCGTCCCAAAAAATCAAGGACGCAATTCATGTATTTTAATCAAGGGTTCTTAGACAACTAACAAAAATAAATAAATAATAATATTAACGTTAATAATCAAAATGTCAGTCAAAAAATTGTTTATCAAATGTAGTAAAAAAGTAAATAAACATTAAATCACTTAGATCTAGTCAAAATCAATATAGGTAGTCCATTATATAATAAATAAATAAATAATTTTAAAACGTATGTATACGAAAAAGTAACGAACGAAGACTGAACTGCAGTAAAACAGTTATTAACAGTAGATACTGTACCTACCTAATCAAGTATTTTATATCAGCTTGGTAAATCCAGAACATTGTGAAACTAAATGCTATACACACATATATGTAATACAAAGCTTTACCGATATAGTATAGGTAGAATAGAGGTGGTATTTTATTGTTCACGATTACGATAAACGAACTTGGTATCGTAATTTATATTACTATCAAAACATAATATTAGAGCCCAGGCTATCTTATAATAATCAACACACCACGGAGAACCCCTGAAAACGAAATAAAACTCTACTACCTAACCCATATATAGTGGGACGCAATTCGTGTATACCTTTTTTACGGGACGCAACTAAGGTGCCCCGCTTAAAATAAGGGTTCCGGTTCCGGTTAATTCCGGTACTTACCAGTTCTTAAAAATGCTTATTTCCAAACATTACCTAAGGCCTAAGACATAGATTTTTAATAACTCATAACTTGCATACAAATTTAAATGTATTCTATATTTGGTCACTGCCCAAAGGGTGGTCATATTCATACAAAAGTGAAATAACTAATAAGCAAAACATCAAATTACAGTATAACCACCTGATAAATAAATTGTAAGTTACTCGTATGTGTCAATGTGTGAGTGTGTGACTTTGTTAGTGTGTGAGACTGTGAGACGGAGTTGTAAACAGGTAACTATAGTATAAATATTATTATTCGTAGGTATTTTGTAAACATTCGTAGAAAAATACATAATTATATTGCTAATGAAAAATGCAACCAGTACCAGTATGTGTGTAAATTAATCATTGTCGATCTTACCTATAATACGATTATTTCGAGTTAAAAATTTAAAAAACTTTAGATATACAAAACAAATATATTTCTATGAAAAATAATTATTTGTTTAGACTTAAGGTAGGTACATCAAAACCCAATTCAAATTGAATTTTCTATTATTTCATAGAACCGCAAATAACCTAAAAGAACTGGAAAACTTATTATTTATTAAAATATGGGTTCCGGTTCCAGTCCCTGAATTAAAGCATTCATAATTATTGTATTTTAAATTTATTTGCTTTTCACAATATAATGAACATTTTAACATCTTCTGCTAGCAATTCCTAATCAAATTATATGATATTATAAACATTTTTAAGAAATTTGAATAGGGTTATATATAATCGTTATTTCTAAAGAAACGTAATACATTTATTTTTATGAAATTATAGAAAACTTATTTATTTCTTAACACGCAGGTAATTTAAATTTAATCAAACCTAAAGTATCATTTTATTCCAATTCGTAACCAATAAAAGATTTTTTAAAAAACCTGGAAAATTATTATAGGCTTGAATAAATACCTGGCCATTTCACTGCGTGGCCATTCGGAATTAATTACAGCACAACATTGTTTGATGAGGTGTTTGTTTCGGTGTAATGGAAATACTTCAAATCGTTCCATTGCCACTCTAATGTAAATGTTAAAGTACCTGAAAATTTATAATCTTAAAGTAAAATTCTACATTTTGATATCCAAACTTAAAAATGTGGCCAGGTGAGTACCGCTCTGTTGTACTGTAGGAGTGGTGTGGGTCAATAAAATGGACATGTTAAATTCTAATTCAATTATATATAATCATTGTATATCCTGTATTACTAATTATATTTTATGATATTATTTCTATCAAAGTAATTTATTTTACCATTAGTAAACGGTTAAACAGTAGGTTAAATTAATACTCGCCGAAAACATTTCATTTGATATTCTTTAAAAGCTTCAAGTACCCACAGTTAATATTTTGAATTTACAAATTTACAAAATTGTTAATCTTTGTTTTTAATTTCTAGAAATTTTACCTAACATCTATTAAAGAAACTAGGTATGTTTAATGTTTATTCATTTTTATTTTAGATGTTTTGGTTACAGAATAAGCATATTATGAGAAACCTTGTTTTTAATTTTCAATCGTTGTTTATAAAAATTGAACATTTTATAGATTTCTAACTACAAAATAATTCGCAAATTTTCATAATTTTAATGAATTTTATTAATATTTGAACCTAAAATTATTATTAAAAAATATTCTGCATTTGTATCATTAATAATTTTGAACTATACAATGTATGAGAAACTTTGTATTACTTATTTACTTTGTAATGATAAATAATAATCATGCTATAATGTATTATTAATGCAACTAAAACATGATCTCGTATATCTGGTCTCAAATTCAGAAAAGTAATCTAGAATGCTAGTAAATAAGTTTAATAGATAAAATTAAAATTACAATGTGTTTAAACGTTTGAATGGCTAAATCAGTGATTCTCGACCGCACGTAGTATTACCGTAATGTGTGTAGCCAAAACAATTGTTTATTTATATTGTATAAGTGTTCTGAAAAATGTAAATATATAATATTACTATAATTTATAGCATTAAATAATACGCATTATGAAGTGATGGTAAAAACCACAGATAAGAAAAAAAAATTGAGAAGATAGTCTCATTCTCAATTTACATAATATAGGCTTATAATTGTTACTTTTTCAATAATACATTACCTGATTGTTTTAAGTGTGTTACAATTTTTATGGATCTAAATGAGGGTGTCGTGGTGAAAAAAAAAGGTTGAGAAGCACTGACACTACATTGACAGTCAAAATGTATTACAATTTATTGTGAATTAATACTAGTATTTATCATCAATGGTATTGCGTATAGGTATATACGTGTTATATTACCCTTGTTATTGTACTCTTGCCTCTCCACAGCTGGGTTCAAGATAATTAAATAAATAAATATAATAATTAAAGGAAAAACAAAATGTATTAATCAATAATAAATCCCAAAATTCCAAAATCCCAAAATCTTTCATCAGACAAAAAAAAAGTATAGAATTTGTTTACAATCTTAAATAAATCAATTGAATTGTTGACATTTTTTTCAAACAAATATAATAGGTATAACTGGTAACTTTTTTTTTAAACGATTTAAGAATTAAAATATATTGAATAATTATATTTTAGATTCTGATTCTAGATTTTTTTTTTTTGTGTCTGTCATCACCTTTTAGGACAGTAAAAGTGCTTGGATTTTCTTCAACAGTATCTTTTCTGATAGGAAAGTGAATTTAGTTGGTACTTTGGGGGGTCAAAAGTAAAAATTTTAGTAGTTTTTATAAAGTAGTTTTCAAAAGCGCCGTGAAAAACAAAAGAAAAATTAAGGAAAAACGGGAATTTTTACGCAAAATCTGTTAATCTGTTTTAAAGTCCAAAAATTGACAAAATATGGAAAAATCACGAAAATTAGCAAATTATTTTGTGTTAAGAATTCGTAAAAATTTTTCTTTTTAAATCTAAGATTTTAAAATATGATACAAGATTCCTTATAAAATTATCTACCTTTATCAAAAAATAAATGCCTATAAGAAAGCCAAATTAAATTTTTACGAGCGTTTGAAATTCAAATTTTTACAATATTGGATATTCACTCGATTTCTCATGTAGCGATTTCCTTATTTTGTTGTAATTCAAAAACGAATAACTGTAGATACATGAAAATTTCATTATTATTCGTGGGTACTTGAAATTTCTAAAGTACACTATTATATATCTATAGTATCAGGGTTTGTTGTTGATGTATAACGCGTTATAAGTACCTAATGGATATTGTGATTAATTTGGAATTTATTATAGGTACCTATAATAGGTCAATTTTTTTTAATACCATAGATAATTATATAATATGCCTTATACCTAGACTGACATACCGTCTCCGCTAAGAATCGTTTTTCTTATACCTACAATGATATTATATCATTGAATTCAAATTTAATATCATCCATTATACAGTGACCTACTTGTAACCTACTGTACAGCAGAGCACCTTTTTTTTAATTACTGAATCATAAAAATTACTAATTATTTCAATGATATACTGATTTTCTATTTTTTTTTTATTTTTTACTTTAATAATTATTAACTATGTAATTTCAAATTTTATTTATCTTAATTTGATAGATATATTTATTTTAAATTGTATGATAGGTATAATATACTAAAAAATATAAGAAGTAAATAACACTTAAGTTTATTATAGTATTGTAATCACTAGTAAATTATATTTTAAGATCACACAAATACAATTTTTATAAGATTGTTTTAAATGATGGAGCTTTTAATAAAAAAAAATGTCTATGTAGGGAGTTGTTACTTTAAGTTCAACAACGCCATCTATTTGTTGAAAAGTGTAATGACAGATATTGATTATTTTTGTTCTATTTTACAACCAATCCTTAGAAACCCTATCACAATGTTATCATATTATAAACAATAGATGTACTAGACATATTACGTAGGATTACACTACATTCCAAATTTAACACATATTAAAAAAAAATTAATTTTATTTCAAAAATGAAACCAGATAAGTCGGAAAACAGCCACATTAACGACAATGATCTGAGCAATGGTTTAAAAAACCATATGTTTTGGATATTTGGTTACGGCTCATTGATATGGAAAACTAATTTTCCATTCATTAAAAAATATCCTGGATACATAAAAGGATACATCAGACGGTTTTATCAGTTTAGCCCAGACCATAGAGGGACCAATGACTTAGTAAGATTAAAACAATTTTATTTTTTTAATTATTCATATTATGGTGATTTTGCAGTACGTCTTGCGCTATGTAAAATTGTAAACCTAGTGATGTTACGAACCCTTATTTTTGAGGTCTTTTCAAAAAAATTTTTATAGGAAAACTTTAATAATCAAAAAACAAATTAATTATTAGATAATCATAATAAAACTTTAGTTATATACCTAATAATGATAATATAAAAAATAGTTTTTTTTACAGTTTTACAACGAAGTGAACTCAAATTTTAATTAAATAGTTAAATTAAACAGTTCGGATCATCACTACATAAAATTAATGTTTACAGGTACTAATTATTTCTAAAAATTCTTAATCAATTTCAGCCTGGACGAGTAGTGACTCTTTTACCATCAACTAATGAAGTAAGTTCATATTGTATAAGTTGAACTCTGCACTTAGCTTATTTTACTTTACAATTTATTTATTTATGTATGTATTTAGTATATATTATGAATGTATAATTATATGGAATTATGGTAGGTACTTGTTAGTTGTTTGTTAATAAAATTAAATGATAATAGTAAGTATATTGTTTACAATTAATAGCAGCATAGTTAATAGTAATGGTTGCTCATAAATAAACAAAAAAAAAAACAATTTCCTAAAAATCCTTAAATTTGACGCATTATATTTATTTTAACAAAATATTTTTATTGTTAAAATTGAATGTCAGTTTAAAATGAAATAATTTTTAACAATATTTTAAAAGAAGTAATAATGTTTGTGATATAGATATGATCTTCAAATTACACACACTAAGTGTAAAACAATTTCAAATATTATAAGAACTCTTTTCATGAATAGATCACATACTAGACATAAAACTACATGTAGGATATTAGGTATAATACAGAGAAATGTTTATCATGATTCAGGAATATTGAATTTTTTAGATTAAGGGGATGCTTCACCTGCACACGTTTACATTTTCAAAATGATCATAATTTATTTTAAAATTAAAATAAGTATAAAATAAAACCTATGAGATTTACTAGAAGATATTCTAACTTTTAAATTTGATAATAGTTCAATTCACTCTAATATTAAACATAATTAGAGTTGATTGGATATTTTAGAATATACAATATGGTATAACTATATAATGCCATTGATAAAAAATGGTACCTATCTCCGTACAAAACTTAATATTTGCGATATAATGTGATTTTAGAGTCGAGTATGGGGTATAGCGTATGCGATTGACAATCGAGATATAGATAATGTATGTGCAGGATTGGACCTACGTGAACGTGCAGGTTATACTAAGAAAGTTATCCAATTTCATACAAAAACAAATGAAGATCAAATACCATCTGAAGTCACTGTGTATATAGCAGACGAAAACAACGAGTGGTTTGCTGGTGAAGCATCTATTCAACAAATTGCTTCCAGAATAGCAGTGTGCCGTGGAACCAGTGGATCAAATCCAGAATATGTACATAAATTAGCAGCAGAAATGAGACGAATAGCTCCTGAAGAAGATGATAAACATTTATTTGAACTGGAAATGGCTCTGAAAAGCATCGAAAATAGTTATTAAGGAAAATCAAATATAAGACATTTTTATTTAATTCATGTTTATTGTTTTTATTGTAAGAAAAAAAATTATATATTATTGTTATAAACACTAGATTGGTATATATTTTTTATTTCATCCAGTACAATATGAGGTCTACCGGCAAACGCATTCTACCATCCGTTGTCATCTGCTATAAGATTTAGCCACAAAACTACAGGTCATTTAAATTCAAATTTATCATTTAACCAGTCCTAATACAATTTTATAATTTCACTTATGGTAGTGTTAAAATCCTGGTAAGGAACAGTCTCTATGAAGTTGAAGTATGAATATTAATCGATTGCAACATACATAATACATTCAGTGCATAATCAAAAATATCATTAAGTTCTTAGTTACCTTATAAGGATATGTTGATCCAAAAACTCTGATAAATAATGTATATGAAATATAATATGTTATTAAATACCTAGCATATCTCAGCATATTAAAATATCATTTAGGTAAATATAGGTAGTCAAAACATTAATTAAGTAGTAATTTTTCAATGATGAATAATAAATTGTCTTCAAATAATCTATTACCAGGTACGCAGCAGATTCCAACGTGAATATAGATTTAATCTTATAAAATGTAAAAAATTAAAAATTTGAAATTAGCAACAAAGAAACTTAATATTAAATTAAACTTAAATTTAGATACACCAAATAGTTAACTCTAAAAATATACTAGGTAATTAGAAAAGTGTGCATAAATATAAATATTTTTTGAGTTAATTAATTTATCATAATAATAAATTAATAGATAATAAACAGTAAACAATAACTGATAATGTGTTATTTTCTTTTCGTCTCTATAAACTTTGCCGGTACGACGTTACCAAAGGTGGATTCACCATCAAAATCACAAATCATTTACACTTTTATTACATAGTTATTGATTTATGGTGTTCACTAAATAGTAAATACTATTCAATATTCACTACTCAGTATTCACCGAGCGCAAATTAAGATAGTACCTACCAAATACTATATATTATGTCATATAAAGTATTTGTACCTACTATACAACTCGTATGAGATAAGCCGGATATCCATCCTTCATATTATACCACAGATTTCTACATAGTAGTGTAGTATAGTCTGAGTATTAAAAGGGCAGTGGGGCACCGGCACTTTATCGATCAGCTTCTTGGACCATTTAAGATAATCATGTGTTGGACCGTGGTCTTGCTAGGTATTTGAAATTTGAATCACAGAATAGATGAAATTTCATCTATTCTGTGTTTGAATCTTGAATGACGAAGTACATTATTAGTTATTACCACATATTTTGTGATTTGTCATTATCAGTTATCACTTATCAGTTATCACAGTGGTTGAGACGTTGAGTTGTTGTTACTTGTTAGTTGCTAGTACTTGCTACATCAGCTTGCTGCCTGCATATTCTGGTTCGTGGTTTACCTTAGTTCATACTTTTTCATATTACATTTTTTTTATGCGTGCTTTTAAGTTACAAAATACAAGACATTAAACGTTTAAAACTGCTAAAATCTAGAATATAGTATCTTCTTCTTAGTACCTAGGACCTAGGTATATAGAATATTTTTGAACGGTAAAAAAATTATATTAATATTTAATACCTAATTAATAATAATAATCAATAATCTTTATTACCATTAAACTTATCAATTCCCTATTCCTAATTAAATATTAATTTACGAATTATCCATATATAAATATAATACACCGTGTTTTTCTTTTCTCTCAATAGCATTCAATACAATTTAATTGTTTTAGGTACTACTGAAGTACTGTCTACTGTTAATATAAATATGGCCACAAATTTAGTAGTATTAGGAGAAAATGCTGCTAGAATTAACGTGAAAGTCAATCCTAATATGACTGTTCTTAAAGCAAGTGCCTTAGATTACTTTATATTTAAGCAATACTCTTTATAAATACATTTTATTGTTATAGGTAATAGAATTAGCCTGCACAAAAATGAAGGCAAACAGCAACGATTTTGATTTAAAGTAACTATTTGTTTTTCTTTTAATTTTTAATAAATCATAAAACATTGATCTATGTTTGGCTGTCTCTTGAATAGATATCACAACAAAATATTAGATACGACTAGTCTGATCAGGTTTACAAATATTGCCAATAATGCCTTATTGGAATTAGTACCTGTTACAAAATCAAGACAAAATAGCTCTGTTGGTGTATGGTTACAAATAGAAGATGGTTCTAGATTGTCAGGCGAATTTTCATCTAACCGTAAGATATATTGAAAATGTTATCTATTTATTACAATTTACATATTTTTTACTACATAATTTTATTGTTTTTGATTAGAAAATCTATGGGAAATCATACAGATATTATTGAAGGACAATTTTTCTAATTATGAAAGTCCAGCTATAATTTATACAAGAATGGAAATAATTGGTAAAGAACAATTGCAGCAGAAAACATTAAAAGACATCGGACTAGTTAGTGGCAAAGCATTGTTAAGGTTAGTTTAAAACCAATTACTTAAAATATTCACTTAATTCTAATGTTTTTATATAATAGTTGATTTTTAAATGTTGGTCATTACCTCACTGAGCATTGTTCTTGCCTTTTTGATAACATTTACAATAGGTAATTACTAGAAAAAAATGAGAATACTTAAAATGAAAATGTTATGTTATTGGCTCTATAGTTAATTACATAATATTACTTATTATCTTTTATGTACCTATTTGTTTCAACTATTTTTTTTAAATGTATTTATATTTACTTAACAAATGTTATATTTTGATTAACTAGATTACTTAATAAAAAAGAATCTGAAGACCAAGCTCATGTATATGTACCTGCAGCAAGAAAACCAAAACTTGAAGAATCTCCTAGATGTTTAGGTCATAAAGAAACAAACACAAATAAATTATCAAGTGATGAATCAGCAAAGGTTGTGGCAACAAATCCACAAGAGTCCATGGATATTGAACCAAATACTGATATAGCTGAAGAATCCGAGCCTATAAATATGTCAACATGCCAAAAAAACGTTGATAATGACCCTAAAACATTAGACGACAAAAAAAAGCCTACTCTTACTAATGAAGATCTCATTAATTTCAAGAAGTCTATATCTTATGTTAGTAAGACTCCAAGCATTTTTTAACTGCTTTTATTTATATTCTTTTATATGTTACTATTATTTTACTTATTTATTGAACAGTTTAAATATTAATTTGTATCTCTATAGAGGTTTATTAATATATTATTCAATATTAGTATGAACGTCCTCATACACTGCAGCGGTAGCGGCAAATGATGCAAGAAGTATTTATAATTAATTAATATTTTACATTTATTTTAGTTAGATGAACGCGATACGTTGTTATTTGACATTATGGATGGTACTTCAGTGTTATATCAAGATGAAGGTGATGATTTCTTTAAACCAACTATAAAAGATATTACTCTTGTACTACGAGATTTGAAAAATTCACGGTAAATTGTATGGATAATATATAATAACTAATTAGTAGCATCAAGAGGAAGTTATACTCGCTTGTGTTGTTTCAGTCTTACTAACGCACAACATGGAAAATTTACATAAGAATCCGTTTTAAAACACTCATAACTTGTTCCAAAATTAGATAAAATGTATTAATTAGATCATAAAAAAACAGCTTTAGGTGCTTTAGATAATATTCTTACCTTTCAATTTGATAATAGTAATAATATATTTGTCAATTTACTTTAATATTAAACAAATTAAACAAATTCTTCTGAATATTAAAATATTAAATTGTCCATGTTATGCCTTAATAAGACTGACTACTGAGACAATACATGCAGGTATAATATCCCCCAAAAATAATAAATAATTAAGAGGACGTGATATCTTCATGTGTTATCTTCGTCTCACAAGTGCGTAACATAGCAAATTGTATGCTCAGCAGAACTCGTGTAGCTACGTTACTTTAAAAATTAGAGTGAATTGACCACTTATAAAATCTAATAGTAAGATTATTATCTACGTAACCTCATGGGCTTTTTATTCTTTTTAATTTTAAAACGAGTTATGAGTATTTTAAAATTTAAAATTGTTTGTACATCTTAAAATACTCATAACTCGCTTTAAAATTAAAATATAATAAAAGCCATGATACCTAGATGATATTACCTAGATGATAATCCTAATATTATATTTTTTAAGAGGTCAATTCACTCTTATTTTTAAACTAACGGAGCTACAGGTGTTATGCTAAGCTTAAAATTTGCTATGATACGCAATACGCATTTGTTAGACGGAGACAACACATGCCCTTATCACGTCCTCTTAAAATTACATGTTATTATTTGTTTTAAAATATTTATCTTTAAATATTAGTATTCAATAGGCTTAAGGCACTTTCACTGAAGAGGGCTTCAACGTAGCATATTTTAAGAAGTACTATTTAGGCAATTCATGTGACATATAAATTAATACTGTATCTATGTTTGAGTAGTAAATGAATATTAGTGTGCGTAATCCGTTATCGTTTCCGAGAATCGCTGTATGTCGAGTCGGGCAACCGCTCTGCAAGCAACTCTCACACGCATGTCAATACAAGGCGAAAAATGAAATATATTCCTGTTTGCTATAAAACTACTAAAAGCGTAAAAGCGGTAATAAATTAATCATACTTCCCAAAGTTCGATTGCAATTTCGAAAAAATGGTTGAATTTATAAACTTCCAGACTATGCTTCTTAGGAATCATATTTTTTATTTAAAATCAGATGTGCCCAAAGTAAATACAAATGCAATGCAATTATTTCATGGGATTTCTAAAAAAAAAATGGTTATTTTAAGGTCATTTTAAATTAAAAATTGAAAATCAACTTCCTAAGAAGCCTAGATATTTTAACAATGAATTCAAACATGTATAAAAAATTTAAATTGGACATTCCGAAGTATGTGTAATTTACCACCGCTTATTGGTCTAAAACGTACAGAAAATATGTGCCCCCTTAATAAAATATTGTATGTGGGTAGTACTTAATTAAAAATTTGAAAGTTTATATATGAATGAAATAAATTTTTTTGTGTTGTATACAAATTATAATCCTAGAAAGTGTAAATTTAGGTAAATTTCATAATACAATGTATATTTATATAAAATAGTAATAAATAATAATGAACTAGACCTTATTATGTCTGTAAGTTATTTTAATGTAGCACTGCCATTACGTTAATTTATATCATGTATCGTAAAAAAAATAAAAATAAAATAACACCCAAATTATAAATAACTTGATATTTCAAAAACATATATGAATTTATGATTTGGATACCTCTATCAAAAAAATGTCCCTTACACATGACAAGCAGAGCTCATTTTTCATGCCTGCTACTTGCTACTATAGTGTTTTTTTTTTCAATGGTCATTCAAATAATTTGATACTTTCATCTTATCTGAACTATTCTATTATTATATTATTAAGAAACTAACACTAGATAAATTAATCAATAGTTGGATTCTATAAACTATAGTACCTATAGTATTTAAAATTTCAAAGTTAAAATATTTAACTGTTTAGACAATTTGAATACATATTTATACTCAGGCCACCGAGAGAGCACTACTCGTTGACGCATCCAAATGGCGAAGCTCCGAGTTCTCGTACCCAAATTTCTCCCACTCTACCATCTAGTCTCCGCCGTAAATTCCCCCACTCGCTACCCGACGGCCAGAATTAGCGGCGACCAGCGTACGAGCAGATTTGGTGGTGGGAATGCTTGAGATCGGACTAGTTTTGGTCGCCGCCCAGCAGCTGTCTCTTGGTGGCCCGAGTATAGTTTAAAATATTTTATATTAATATTCTATTAATTGAGTGTGAGGTCTCTGAATAATATATTATTGTATTTAAAACTGTTTGGTCATATTTACAAATATTTAATAGATTATTATAATTCATTATTCAATACAATCAATAATATTCTATAATTAAATAATGTAAAGTGTGTACCAAAATTAATGAATATAAAATTATTAAAAATACATGTAAAATTAAAAAATATACAAGTTGTGCTTCGAAGTTTAAATTTATATTTATTTTTATTTTAGGGCTCAAATTGAAGATGGCCAACTGTGTACAAGTGCAATGCGGGAATTAGAAAAGGCTCAAAATCAACTAAATTTATTACATAAATACAAAAAGTGTATTATTAGAATCCATTTTCCAAACAGATTAGTGTTACAAACCATATTCAAATCAACTGAAACTGTATTGGACATAATTAATTTTATTCGAAAATATCTCATTGATGAGTCTTTAGACTTTTGTTTGTGTAAGAGCCAATTTAATTAAGATGTATTAATTTAGTAATACCATTGAGTATAGTATACAGTCTGTATACTGTACTCAATAGTAATAATTAATTTACTAATGATTTCATTTTAACAGATACAACACCTCCTAAAACTATTTTGAAACCTGAAGATACTTTATTGGAATGTGGATGTGTACCATCGGCAATGATACATTTTTCATGCAATATGGAAATTGATCAATTAAAACCTGAACTTAAACATAAAATTGTGTCAGGGTGTCAAGCTTCAATAGCTGCTTATCTTGTCAGGTTAGTCGTTCATATATTATGTGTATATTTATAAAGTCAATGGCATAAATTAAATTGTTCATAAATATCTTAATGAAACACAAAAAGATAGTTTTTAATTTAAAATATTAATTTAAATCTTTACCTGTATACTATGGTTTTTATTTTGAAGACCACCGGAATCAATAGTCATACTTTTAACTTATACGATATAAGATAACATGGTGATCAAAACTCAAAAATGGTAGTATTGTAATTTTCTTCAAAAACAGAAAAAATTATTTAACTATTTGAAAAATGTATACTACTTATATTACACCCTTAATATTTTTGTATTTACTAACTTATTCAAAATCAATTAATAATTTCAGAAAAGAAAGAATTTCAAACTCTTCAAATAATGAAACTTTATATGATGAACAGCCAGGAACGAGTAAACAATTAGACAATCAGAATAGTAAAACCACTGTTTTTCCTCAACAAAATAAAACCAAAGCAAATAGTGGGAAGACACCTAAATGGTTTAAGCCAGTATGAAGACAAATCATTAACTACAAAATGTGTTTAAATTACTTAATAATCATTTATTGATGTATAATTATTAATTTCTGTATGGCATATTATATATACTTTTTTTTGATAACATTTGTATAATAGCCATATTATTTAAAAATCTAGTAATAAAAAAATGATTTAAAAACAATTAAGTATTTGTTGTCAATTTTGTTTGTCTTATACATCTTTATGATGTTATCATTGTATTTTTTATATACTTGTAAATAAATAATTTGCTTATAGAACATAATATTGTGTTCATTCTGCATTAACATTTAGCAATGTAAGGTTTACTAAATGTCTCATTGTTGGTCTTCCATGAGGGCAATTCTAAAATAAATAAATTTCCAGTCTCAAACCAATTCAAATTATAAATTAGCATTGACAAAAAGTCAATATAGTTGGTTATAATTTATGTTTAGCTTACCCAAGGTTGTTCAATATCTCCCATGTGGTCAATGAGTTTTCTCATATCACCAAAGTTCAATACTTTACCAATCATAACGGACTTACGACAAGCGCGAGATGCAAACATTGAACGAACTCTAGAAGGTCTACAAAGAGTATTTGGCGCATCCTAAATAATGTTAAAATAAATATTAAAAAAAAAACTAATAATAATAGTTATTTTCAATTTTATGTCATATTAAAATTACTATTTACTTGTAACATGAACAAAAGTTCATCTACATCCTCTTTACCAAAGCTCCAATTATTACTCATAGGAATCATAGTTAATTTAACTTTCTTTGTTGGTTCCGCTAAATAATATAAAGTAGTATAAATAATATACTTGATAAGTGATAACTATGAACATGTTTCAAAAGAAGAATAAATAAAACTTACCATCTTGTTGGAACTGAAAATCAAATCCATTCATTTGAAAAACATTAATATTTTCCATTAATACAATTTCATTAACAGCAGTTAATTCTAACTGTTGGGGTCTATAAAAAAAATTGAAAATTAAATTTATAAACACAAAATAAAATAAGAAAGTTTTTTTCATTGTTACCCAAATATTTAAATATACTAAAATTGTTTATATAGAGTACTATACACAATTTAAAGAAATTCTGATTTGGTAAAAATGTTAGTTTTAATTTACAATTATTACTAACACCACTAATTTTTGGCTTGTAATTTTAGTTGTATTTTGTAATGTTTCAAAGTTATATTTTTCATCGGTAGCGTGTTGATCAACTATAAATAAATCAGCATCAAGTTTGGTAATGATGAAACCCAAATTAAATTGGCCAATTATACTCATCTGTAAAGATATAATAAAAGTTCTGTACTTGTTTAAATTTTTACTTTTAATTTACTATTACTTACTCTAGAAAACATATCTTTAGAAATTTCTCTACTTAATTCAACCTCAGCTTGTTGATTTTTATTTGGATCAATTGTTGCGTAAAACCGTGTTTTTATTTTCTGTTTTTCAGATCTTCGAAATCTTAAATTGCTTAACCTTTGTTTAATTTGTTCAAGGTTAGTTTCAACTAGTGCAAATTTTCTTTCTATTGGCGCTATAGAAGTGTCTATTTCTATACTAGCATTTGTGTTTATTTTTGACAAATCACAATCAGTTTTTATATCTTTAACAAATACATTTTTTACTTCACTCTTATGTATTGAATCAATGTCTACTTCAGAACCTGATTTATCAGCAACAATTTTTAAACAATATGTATTATTATCCATATTTTCACCATTTGAATTATCAACAAAATGTTCAGGTAATTCAATGTTCTTGCTGTTTGCATTATTAATATACGTGGATTTTTTTTTATCATTTTTAATGCTTTCTTGTTTTTGTTCATAATTTTTTTCCTCTTTGTCAATGATTGGAATAGTGTCATTGGTGTCAGTACACATAAATGGACTGGTAGATATTTCATTACCTTCATTTTCAGTTAATTTCTCAGTATGATTTTTTTGAACATTATCAATAGGCTCAATTTTTTGTTTAAGAAATTTGTCTATTGTACTCGGAACAACCGTTGCTATTTTAGAATTATCAGATTTCCATCTAATGAGTTTAGCTTTAATTTGTTCCGAATGACTAGGTGTCTTTTTACTTTCATATTCATTACTTTTATCCAACTTCAATACTGAAATAATTTTTCAATAATTAAAATTAGAAATTAATAACCAGGATGTTATTATTAATATATCTGACTTATAATATCATGTTCAAGGGTATTTATATATTTTATAGAGTATAGCATGACTGAATATTAAATAATAAATAACAATTAATAATATATTGTCATACTATAGATTGCTCACCAGCCGGTTTATTAGTGGCGAAAAATATATGGCAAGACGACATGACTACTAGAGATTACAACAGTACACAATATTACTAACCTAGGGTTTAGGTGAGGGCTTGTGTTTAGTAATATCGTATAACGTTGTACTTACTAGTAGCCACGTTATCTCGACCACTACTGGGAGTAAATATGTTGAGCCATCGAAAAACCGGCCAGTGAACAATCTATAATATTTATCATGACAAAAATCTATTTTGTCATGGTATCTAATATCTATAATCTATATTTATAAGCATTTTAATTTTTTATGTTTTTTTTTCTAATATAAATATTTATTGAAGTCTATCGTTTTCCTTGATACATTTTTTGTATTTAACAATTTTGTGATTACAAATAAAGCAAAAATGTTAATGACATGATTTCACTTTTAAAATTTTCATTATTTTTAAAAATTCTATAAAGTTGCATATTCAACTCATAAAAATCTATTATGTTGTTTTTTTACTTATTTTATGCTTATTAACAAACAAATAAAATGTGATTCCTCTATTAAGAGGACATGATACCCGTATGTGTTGTCTCAGTCTTACAAGTGTGGTACATAGAAAATTCTACGTTCAGCAGAATACATGTGTTTCAGTTAGTTTAAAAATTAGAGTGAATTGACCTCTTATAAAATCTAAAGGTAAATTAATTATCTAGGCCACCTAATGGATTTTTTATTATATTTTAATTATAAAGCAAGCAATGAGTATTTTAAAATTGTAAATTGTTTGTACATCTTAAAGTACTTATAACTCGCTTAAAAAATAAAATATAATAAAAAGCCCAAAAGGTTGCCTAGATAATAATCTTAACTTTAGATTTTATAAGAGGTCAATTTACTCTAATTTTTAAACTAATGGAGCTACAGGTGTTTTTCTAAGAGTAAAATTTGCTATGTTATGCACTTGTAAGACGGAGACAACACATGCGCATATCACGTCCTCTTAAATATAAATAATTATTTTGCTTACTTTTACAATCTTTACTTTCAATAGTTGATTCATATGGCCTTTTAGTCGATATTGATTCATACAACGATGTATTAATCTTGTAAGTAGATGGAATATTTTCAAACAATCTATTTAAACTGGCCTTGTAATAGAAGTAATAGATAATCACAGGGTATATTATGTTGGCTTACTACCAAAACTTATTAACGGCAAAATTTCAATTTTTTTTTTTTAAACATTATCTAGTGTATTATTAGCTCTATAATTTATGAAGAAGCACTATCAAAATCTCTATAAAACCCTGTTTTTTTTAGGTTTTTTTATATTCATTATTATTGTATTGTTAGATGTAAAAATTCATGAAACCGTTAATGTGATTGGTTAGTGTGATAGGTTTATGTAATATAAAAAAATAAAAAAATATAAACAAAATACTAGAGAAACTTTTCAATATTATTTAAAACGCCATTTACCAACAATTAAATTTTTACCGATAATGAGATTTGGCAAGAAGCCAACGATTAACAGGTTAAATAGTTAAATGTAAAACATTACAAATTATAGTAATTTAATAATAAATATGAATTACTTACTTTAATTATTGAGATTAAATAATTTTCATTAGACAAAAATATTTGTCTTTTATCTGGTGTCACATTAATGTCTACTTCAGCTCTCGCAATAGTTATATTTAAGTAGACAAATGGATATTGATTTTGATTGTATTGATGGTAAACTTCATTAACTGTTTTTATAACCTAATATAAAAATAAATAATATATTATGTATTATATTATTTTTATTTTAAGCTGAACTACATTCGGGGTTTTTTTTCAATTTGATGTTTTTAGAAAAATTAGTTCTGTAGTTAATATCTTAAAACATATAGATATCGATTTTTGAGTCGAATTAATCAGCACGATGAAAAGTAATATTTAATTTCCATATGAAAATATTTTTAAAATACTTCAATTTATAAAAATAAATAAATCATGTGAGTACCTTTAAAGGCTCGCAAGGTCTCGAATTAATGAAATAAAATTGTCTGTCCTTAGAACTTCTACCTCCATTATGTTCACAACTAGATATATAACCATCTAGTTCAAAAATATTTGGTATATCATTTTCTTCATCTACAGGAATGACTTTTTTTAAAACTAACAAACTGTTAGCCTGAAAATAATAACTCAATGAATAAAAGAAGATCATACATAACCAAATAGCAAATCCTAATTAATTTACCTGTTTAGATCCATAAATGCATGATATGTTTTCTAATACTGTGTTGCTACCATGTGTTGATAAAAGAACATTATTCACAGATTTTGTTTGATTAATACATGATAATCTATGAAAAAAAGTTATTTGTATAAAACTATCCAAAGTTGTTAAAATATTAATTTACTTCACTTGAGTAGCCACTAAACAGTAACCAGTCACTACTTGGATCATTTTTCCAAAGTCTTTTTTTAAATTTCGATGAAACTCTTTATGTCTTACAGGTAATGAAGAGAATAAATTAGACAATGTAACTGCTGTTCCAACCTAATTAACATGTAATTTAGTTTTGTAAACAAAAATAAAATTAATTTTATAGTGTTATACATTATTATATACAGTGATGTATTGTTAAAAATATTCATGGGTAACCGTCATAGCCTTTTCACACAGATCGGTGACAATGTTAAAAACTAAAAATTAAATAAAAAAATTATTTTTCTCACCATATTCAACATAGCTATTTTCTTACAGCTGTTATTCTGACTATGAGATATACCATATACATACTTAATAACTTTTGGAAATAGTCTTTTGTGGATATTTATAGTAGTACTACTAGTACTTTTCCGAACAAAACCATAAGAACATGAAAGGAAATAACAATCCTCATTGATGACACTTTCTATTTTTGGAAATTTGAATTCAGAAAAATGATAATATTAAAAGTTCATTGATCATCAAAATATTAATTTTTTATCACCTGATATCTATCTAATAAATACTATCTAAAATTTAAAAATTACTAATAATTATAGAATATTTTGTTTTTGTGACAAAAATAATTTGTATACAACCCGTGTATACTTTCAGTGAGTAATGAGTATGAGCAAAAAAACAAAAATAATAGAACACACTGTATACTCATCAATACACCACTGATAATAATAATAATAATATATATATATATTTATTTAATTATAAAATCGTACTTGCTTAGCAACAGGGACTTTCAGCTTAATGTTTCCTGTATGATCAAACACTAACTTAATGCCACATTCTTGTGATGAATGTCTAGTGGTTACTGTTACATCACTTAAAGCACATAATGAGCTCAATGCTTCTCCACGAAAACCAAATGTTTCTACTGAAGTCAAGTCAGCAAAGTCTTTAATTTTAGATGTATGGTGTTTTAAAGCTATATGCAAATAATTGTGGTTAGTTTGAATGTTAGAATCTTAAAATATCATTATAATCATACCAAGTCCTTCAAAATTGTCAGGATGAACCCCAGATCCGTTGTCTGTAACTTCTACCAAATCTTTACCAAATTCTTTTAGTTTAATTCCAACTGAAGTGGCTCCAGCATCTAAACTATTCTCTATTAACTCCTTTACTGCTGTAGCCAAATTCAATACAACCTTGAAAAGTGTATGGAAATATTATATTATGTTTATATTATAGGTACCAGTGGTGTAGTGGAGGGTACACGCGTGTACCCACTTTTTAATTTTATATTTATGCGTATATCCTTAACGAAAATCGTGGTATGCAGGTAAAGCGAAGGGCCCCCCTAAGTTATTTTTTACAATGATTAAGGCATGTACCCATAACCTTTTTTAGGACTACATCACTGGTAGATACCTATATCATAACAACAATAATAAAACATATAAAGTATATAATATATTATATTGTTTATCCATAATTACCTGACCAGAACATATTTTATGAACGTCCAATTTATTTATTGGCTTGATTTGGCCAGACATTGGTAATATAAAAATAAAACTAATTTACAATTTTAGTATAAAGATGAAAGTGTATTTAATATCAAGTTTTTCAATTGTAAAATCAAAATAATACTTAAAAACATTATTTAATTTCATAAAAATAATACTTAATGGTAGTCAGTCTTTCAGTAACCATTGGTTAATTGAAATAATAAGAAATACTATAGACAAAGGGCACAACAATACATGGGAAATTAATCTCAATCTTGAAAAATAATTATAACAAATCTTATGCCACTTTTTAAGTTGTTTGTACTCTATCTGTATTATTGTTTATAGTATTTAATATTGATTAATTATATTAAGTATTAAGCAAATTGAATGTCTTAATGTTATTTCTTAATAAACGATGAGGCCACAACTGTAAGTTCTAAGTAACAATAAACTTTGTAAATATGTAATTAAGTAAATTATCTTAAGTAGTATATGAAATTCAAAAATGTTCTTGTCAGCAGTGATTTTAGCGATGTTAGATCTTAGATGACCATGACAAATGCCAATTGACAATAATAAATAATAATATTATCAATTAATGGGACTACAGATTAAAATCTATGATGGTGGTGGCACGGGGCTAAACTGCTAAAGGGAGTATA